ATGAAAAATGTTCAACATCACTTGTAATAAGGGAGATGCAAATTAAAACCACAATGAGATACCACCTCACCCCAGTGAGAATGGCACATCTTCAAACAACTAGCAGCAACAAATATTGGTGAAGATGTGGAGAAAAAGGAACTCTCCTGCACTGCTGGTGGGAATACAAACTAGTACAACCACTGTGGTCAACTGTTTGGAGGTTCCTCAAACTGCTTAACTGCTGCCATATGACCCAGCAATCCCACTCCTACGTATCTACCTAAAAGACACAAAAACACTAATTCAAAAAGATGCCTGCACCCCCATGTTTATTGCTGCTTTATTTACAATTGGAAAGACATGGAAACAGCCCAAATGCCCAAAAGTAGATGACTGGATTAAAAATATGTGGTACATATACACAATGAAATATTACTCAGCAACCAATAAATAAATAAATAAATAAATAAATACATGCCTTTTGCAGCAACATGGGTGAAGCTGGAAAAGATCATGCTTAGTGAAATAAGCCAGAAAGAAAAGGAAAAATACCAGGTGGTTTCACTCATAGTAGGAGTATAATGGGCCAGACAAGAAAATAATAATAATAATGAACAGCTATATACCAGAGACATTTTATGGGGGTGGAGTGGGGAATGGGATCAAAATCAGTGGGGGGAGGGAAATGCACTGGACTATGGTGATGGCACATGAGTGATTTGGTGATAGGAAGCCCAATGGGATTACAACTAAGATGGAAAAATGCACAAAATGATGTAAAAATAAACTATTATATTATTTTTTAAAAGTATGTCTTTGAATTAACAATGTGTGAAAATTATTGAAGTATAATGCTAACTGCTAAAAGCAGGATAAATAATTCACTCTAATATCACTCCAACTTTTATTTAAATGTATTTGCAGAGATAAATGATAAGATAGAAATACATCATTATTTGGTTATCACTGAAAAGTCACATTTGGGTTTTTGTCTGATTTTTTTGTATATCTTCTTATTTCTATAATGAACATGTATTATACTCACAAGGAAAATAAACAGTACACTTATTCAAAAAAGCCAGGAATCTTCCAGTACAGTAGCTGCCAACCTATGATGACCACATATAATGGTAAGAAATCGAACTTGCCTCATGTCCCAGAGATGTCCAGGTCCTAATCTCCAGAACCTGTGAATATTATTTTACATGGCAAAAGGAACTCCGCAAATGTGATTAAGTTAAGGGTGGTGAGCTTTTATTTTGGAGAGAAATTTTGTTTTGTTTTGTTTTGTTTTCAGTTACTTTGCTTGTAATTTATTTGTTCAAGTTTCCTATTGCTTCCTGATTCTACTTGGAAGATTGTGAAACTGCGTCCAAATAATTAAATTGATCTCAAATCCCAAGGCATAAGGAAGAAAATATGCTTTTTAGATGGGCTTTTGCAGATATAAAAAGGACTGAAAGCTTATTGACAACAGTGAATTGAGTTCCAAGGCTGGCTGGGGACTAAAAGCCCAAAGGGGAAACTGTACAACAGAAATTCAAAGCTCCATTTTTCTAAAGAAAAGCCTCTTCATATTTCATGTATGAAGTGCCCTTTGACTATATGAACTGCATCCAAGTTCACATTTCCTGTCCCCTAACCTGCTTTTCAGATCACACAATTTAATTTCTTTTCTCCCTGGTCCCCAAAACCTATATAATCTGATTTCTGTTCTAAATTGGGGAGATACAGTTATCTCCGACCTCACTGCCAAATCAGTCTGCAAATAAAGCTGATTCCTCAAGTAGATTTCTGTGATGTCTATTGTGGTTTCTCTTCTTTCATTTCTAATTTATTTAGAAGAGGTTTTTTTTTACCCCTTAGTGAGTATAGCTAGAGGGTTTTTAAAATTTTATTTAAAGGATTAGTTCTTGGTTTCATTGATCTTCTATACTGTTTTTGATATCTATTTTATCTACTTCTGCTCTGACTTTTATTATTTACCTTTTCTCTAGTGGCTTTTGGATTCATTTGTTCTTTGGCTACTTACTAGAAGATTAGTTATCTCTAGTTCCTAAGAGTAGATTGTTTATTTGAGATGTGGGTTTATATTGCTAGAAACTTTTTTAGTACTATTTTTCTTAATTCTGGTGGCTTGTGGATTCTGGTGGCTTGTCTCCTTAATTATATTAGTCTTGAGCCTTCTTTTAAAAACAAAAACAAATTATTTATGCATACAGAATGGGGGTATAGGCCAGAGGTGCAGGGGCGGTGAGAGGATTCACCAGAGACAGAATGGGGAACAGAACAGGCAGATTGACAAGGTACACTGCTGAGGGGGAGCAGCAGGCAAGTAAGGAGAGGTCTGTCAGCCATGTGGTCACCTCCTGGGCTGGGGAAGCTGCTGGACTGCGGCTATCGGCTATCGTGCAGTGCTGCATCCTAACCTGTTGCACCACCAGGGTGGGCCCTTGATTGGCTTTGACTCAACAGTTGTTCAGTGACATGTTTTTTTTGTCTCCACATACTTAAGGTTTTTCCCTTAAGAAAACATACCCACTTTCCTTTTGTGGTTGATTTCCAGATTGACATTATTATAATCAGAGAAGATACTTGCTATGATTTCAATCTTCATGAACGTATTGCTATTTTCTTGTGACCTAACATGTGGATTATACTTAAGAATGTTCTTTTTGCACTTGGGAAGAATGTGTATTCAGGTTTTGAGGGTGAAGTGTCCTATAAATGGCTATTAAACCCACCATCTAATTCCTTATTTTAGGTGGTTGTTTCCTTGACACAAGGTGACCTTATTTAGAAATTGGATCTTTATGGAGGTAATAAATTAAAACAAGATCATTAAGTGGGCTATAATACAGTATGATGGTTGTCTTGTGAAAAGGGGATACTGGGACACCAATATAGACATGCTTAGAGGTCAGACATGGGAAGAAAGTTCTATAAAGACTAAGGCAGAGATTAAAAGTCAACTGCCATAAGCCAAGTAGCACGTGGAAGAGGTAAGGAAGAATTCTTCCCCTACAGAATTCATAGATGTATAGCCCTACTGATCCCTTCATTTTAAACTTCTAATTCCTAGAATTGTGAGAAAATACAACTATATTATTTATAACCACACATTTTGAGTACTTGTTATAGAAGTCCTAGGAAATGAATATCCATTTCACTCTATCCCATTCCATCTTACTGTATCTCATTTAGAAAACTGATTTCCCACTCTTCTAATTCTGAATGACATCAACATTTAAGTTATTTCTAATTTCCTAATCTCTATTTTCACCCATCCTCCATCACAAATACAAGCAGTAGTTCTCAACAACTAATCGATCCCAGAACACAGACCAATTCACATGTGGTGTGTCCCCTCAGTGTTTATTCATTTTTAATGCCCAGCTTCATGTCTCCTGCTCCAGGATGATTTTCCTCATTCCTTAGGGATAGTCACTTAGTCTGTTTTACTGTAATTGTTTTACAATGACAGCACTTATCAGTTGCATTATGGGATCAGTTTTGTCTCCCTTACCCTCTTCTAAGTCCCTTCCCCCACAACTAAACTGCAAGTTTCTTAAAGAATATTCTTTTCTTTTTTTTTTTTAACTCTAAGCTTCATTGTCTGATATAGAACTTGACATAACACAAACTCAATACAGTTTTCCAATGTGTCAGTGCAGATTTAAGCTTTAATATCTTCAGAAGTATAAATGCTACAAAATTGCCAAGCATCTGAATTTTACTTTGTTGATTCTAAGTATTAATTTTTGTAAGTAAATGCAATTCCTTTTTTTTTTTTTTTTTTTTTAGCCAGTCTACATAATCTTTTTTTTCACCCAGGGGAACTGAAACAAAAAAATAAAATAAAGAGGTGTCATTCAAAAATCACATAAAATACTCATAAAAATTGAGCTAAACTTTCCAAGTTTTTTTTATTTTGTTCTGTAGAAATTTTATAGGACTCTGAGATTTTTAATAATGCAATAAAACTTTTGGGATACCATGTTTTTTAGTAACTATGTTAAAGTATGATTCATTCCATATTTACTACAATATCCACTTTCATTTACATTTAAGTTGCTCCAAGTTGAGAGCAAGTATTCCTTAGTCAGTAGCTGTGTTTAGGCCAAAGGGGTGTCCAGGCCTTCACCCCCACCCCACCCGCCCTTGAATGACTGCATATCTTCCCATGAAAAGATGTACTTATGGGTTAGGTCGATTGTAACCACTGCACCCAGATCCATAATTTCCCAAACCTTGTTTTGAGTCCCTGGGGATCCTAGATTGCTTCCCCAATGGCAGTGAGTCAGCTACAGTGCTCAGCACCTGGTAGTGGTATTAAGGTGAAAGGATTTCAATCTAAAATGGAGGATAAGAAGTGGAGATGCTCATACTGTTGCCTGCCAAAGAACATTACTTAAGGACTGGGAGGCTGATTTCCTGGAAGTGCCTGATTCACAGATGACCAAAACTTATCTCTTGCCCTTGAATTTACTGCTTTTATCGGCTTTGATAGGCTGAATATCCCCCTTTTGCCTCTTTGCCCATAATCCAGCCAGTCCCAAACTCTCAATGGCTTTGCCTGTGGCTTGCTACCAGCCTAAGTTTGCAGAATTGAATTTCCTTTGCTATTTCCCAGTAAATTCAATTTCTGGTAATTCGAGTTTGCCTCAGTTAACCTCTTTATAAAGTCAGGTCACTTACAAGAGATGTCACCCTGAATGTGATATTTAAACCTTAGAGACCACAGTGATGTCTGTAAGATAGTCACACAATAATGCAGAGAAAGCACTGGACACACTGGCACTTGCTGTGCTCTCAGTGTTAGTGTTAATTGAATGTGGACGACCCATGAATGCTCTTGGGTTATTTTGAAACACAGGGAGCAAAACACCCCTTGCTTTCTACTTGCAAACACTGGGTTTGCAAGCGCTGACATGGAGAGATAATTTTAAAATATAATGCTAAAATTCGAACAGCTTTAAGAAGTGGGAGAGAAACTGAAAACAAAAAGAACAAGCAAACTGCAGTTGCACCACAGATGTTCTTTCTCTATTAATGGTTAAGATGCCACCCTGCCTGCCTCTCAGGCCCTGGGAAGCGCCCACTGGGCAGGGCCAGGTGGAGGCTGGAGTAGGTGGGGACAAACCTTTGGCCCCAAGATTTGGGTCACGTGAGCCGAGGGAGCGCCTAAAAGCTCGGGTTCTGCTGGATTCTCGGGGCTGGCAGGGGCTGGCAGGGGCTGGCAGAACCATCTCACTTCTGGCTTACTTGGCAGCCGCTGCAGGAAACCTCCGCCCGGGTCTGCGCCACTGCGACTAGCCCAGGATCGCTCGGCTCGGTAAGTGCTGTCAGCTGCGCGCTCAATGCGAGCACTGTGCGGAGCGGGTCCTCCTCTGTACCGGGACGCCGCACTGCGGGCGGGTGGTCTCTGGAGTGCGGGGGGTGGGAGAGGGCCCAAAGAGGGAGGTGGCAACTTGGAGCAAGATTGGGGTGACCTTGACCGGCTCCGAGTTTCCAGGTTACATACCCGGGTGGCTTGGCACTGGGCTCTGGGTGCACCTCCCCCAGGAGACTTGCAAAAGGCCCTGTCACAACCCTGGAAGGTCAAACTCCTGATCTTGTTCCAGACTAGTATTAGGCCCCTCCTGGTCCAGGAGCCGCTCCAGGGAATTGAGAAGCTGGGGCTCCTCCGTCACTCACCGTGCATCTCCTTACTTTCCCAATGTGTCTCTAGGTTGCTTAGTTTTTGGGGGTGCTGTGTTAAGTATCTTCGATTTGAGAGAGCTCTCCTAAAGGAGGGGTGGCTTAAGCAAAGGAAGGATAGCACTGGAGAAGAGCCAGTTACTACTGCAGTGTAGGAAAAGGAGAAAACTTTATTTGGGTTTTGCTAGGGTCAGGTGGAAGCAGCTTCTTACCAAGCGAATGGGAGCCTTGCAGGAAGTGCATCCAATACCGGGGACTTGTAGACATCTGTGTGAAATGGTAACATCCAGTAGTTTCAGGTCAGCTTGGTGTCATGGGGCAAAATTGGGTTTTGGCATGTTTATAGATTTGAGTCCCAGTTCTTGGCTAATTGGTGACTTCAGGCAAATTATTTTTCAGTCTCTCCATCTGAAAGATGGATCTAATCACCAATTAAAAATAATTCAGATTCTTAAGTTAGAAATAATATATGGTAAGTATCTAGTGCTGTGCCCGACTCCTCAGTTAAAGCTGAGTTACCATTGATGATGAGGTCTGAGGTGAAAACAGAGCAAGACAATGTTCAATCTTATGGTCACAAAGCAGTGTGGTTGTCCATGACCCAAGTGCATTCACCTCTCAACCCTCTGCCTTCTACAGGGTACCTGTAGGGAGTGCTTAGTTTCAGAGCTAGATAGTTGTGCTGGGACCCTCATTCCAGTATCCACTGCTTGCATGACTATGGGGACATCATTTTTCTTCCTCAACTTCAATTTCCCCATCAGTAAATGCGGAAGGAGGCACTCAGCACTTGTCTTATCCCTGTTTCCACATAGGTACCTTATTATTATTTTACCTTAAAATAATAATAATAATAATAGTAAATGTTGAGTCAAAATAGAGATATAAGGGGAAAAAATCCAATGAGCTTGCTTTTACTAACTTGGAAAATAACTCTTGGAAAAGTAGACAGCACAGGCTTTGTTGGCATGTGCATGTCTGTCAGAGCCTTTGGCTCTGGGCTTTCTAAACTTAGATCCCAGGCTACTCTAAGGACTGTGGGAATCCGCTGTATGTAATGCCAAGTGTTCTTAGCAAGAAGCTGTTTTATTCATATTTTATAGGAGCTGATTGTTTTGGAGGGGCATAATTGGCCCTATAATATCTGTGTTTAGTTTATATACCAATTTACAGTGGGTTTCTCTTTGGCTGATTTTATAGCCTAAGATGTAAAGGGCTTTGACTGACAGGCAGTTTGGATTGACTTAGAAAGTTAAGCAAGCTGCTGTACTTACTAGTTCATGCTCCTCGAAAAAAGTAAGACAAGAAGCAAATAGCATGACCATGTTTTGTTAATGACCTTTTATTCTGGGAAGCATATGATTTGTCATGGTGAAAACTGAGTGTCACATCATATACCTGTGTATCAGCACCCAGATAGCAGAAGTAAATAGATAATGACCCATCCTTCATAGGCTGTGCAGTTTGTTTTAAAGAGAAAGCAGGAATTATTTTATTTTAATGTTGCCAGGGATTTAATAATGTAGAGTTTTTATGAACCGAACCAATAACATTTACAAGAACATTTAAGTTGGCAAGTCACTGATAATTAGGAAGGTTTCTCTGACAGAAAAACTTGATGTCTACTTTTACTTGACAATGGGTTAAGTCCGACAGAAAGCTAAGGAATGGAGTTCGAACTTTTCTGCTCTATTTTGCAGGTTTAAAGATTTAAGTAGTAATAGACTCAGCTCACAGGAAACCACTGCTTTCTTTGTAAAACCTTTGCTCCTATGCATAACTGAACAATTTCTCTTTCTCAGAGATATTGCAGATACAGACTTGAATAGGAAGCCAAATATTCTTATTGATTTAACCCAGAAGCTGGGGTCCAGAACAGGGTGGGGGATAGGGAGAAATGACTATGTCCTTAGATCCACTTGCCTGAAAAAGCAAATTCTTACCTTCTTATATTTCCAATATCTTTGATCTGATCTCATCCCCTTTTCTCTGTATCCTGATTCCAGTTAGTGGCTATCTATAAATTGCGAGGGTTGTTTACTGGCTAAAATATTTAGTCAGCTTGGGACTAGTCTTTTTCCTTTCCCTTTGGGATTCTATATCCCATTATTCATCATTCAACAAGACCTCTTGATGTACCACTTCATACCTGTATGATTCTCAGGGGAGGAGGTAATCTTTCTTCCAAAGATTCAGTATCTCATCAATTTGTTTATTTGACTAATATTTTCTTTATTACTCAATTATAAAATTTTTCAAGTTTTCAGAAAAGTTGAAAGAACTTTGCAGATCTGTCCCCACCTAAATTTTATCATCATTCAGCTGGCATTGGTTATTGTCTACTATTTGCCTGGTACTATGCTTACCTGGAAAGACACAAAGGGAATGGAAAAGATTGGATAGATATGGAGCATAGAGCTTGTAAAGGGGTCTGTGACTTCATTCTGGAAAATTATGCAGGAGTCACATTGTAAAGACCTTGATTTTCATGGCAGGTGGTTTATGATTTTCTTGGTTTCTGTGCGTTGTCATTGAAGACATTTGAGAATGGGAGTATCTTGTACTTTCAAAAGCTTATCCTAGGATCAGTGTGAGGCAAGTTGGTACTTGAGAGGCCATGAGGTCTGAGAGGTAGGTTAAGAGGCTTGTAAATGTTCCGGAGTAAAGAGTTGAACTATAAACTGAAAAGCTTGCCAAGAGAAAAAAAAAAAAAGGTGAAATGGTGGGACTTTGTGATCAATTTGACATGAGGACTCAGTTTCAGAGTTCATGGACATGCAGGGAGAATATGTTGCCAATAAGAGCCTGGAAATCAAAGGGCAAGGAAATTCATGTGAAGGGGATGTTGATGTTTTGTTATAAGACCTGGTGTGTTGAAAGGAACAATTGGGTAACGAGGCTGGCATAAAGTTGATGATATGACAACCAATAAGCAGGTGATTAAGGAGTGGCTGAACAAGAATGTATGGAAGAAAAGAAGTACAAGATCTTGAGGGAAATCTGAATATACATAGGAATAGAAAAGAAATGCAGATGTTCAATTATCAATTAGTGTTTTAATTACAGTGATTTTGTATCAACAGTTCTCCTTGATAGCTTATAATGTCACAAACTAAAAAGCAAACAAGAGGAGTCTTTTCCACTCCCATTAAGGGAGTCAGGGGGCAGAGGCAGGGGGAATGGTTGGGAAAGGAGAGAAAGTTAAATACTTGTTTATTTAGGAATTCTAGTGTATGCAAAACTTTCCAGGGAAACCACTTCCAACTTTCAAGAATCCAGATAGTAAAACTTTCTGTTTATAATTCAGTTCTTTATTCTAGGTCAATTGCAAAGTCTCTTAACCTACCTCTCAGGTTTAATGAGTCAGTCCATCCCTACTTCATCTGGGAATAGAGACCTTTCCTGATGTTTGATTTCCAAAACAAACCGTAAGTGTAACACATTCTGGATGCATGGTCATCAAAATTTTTTCCAAGTATTTAGCCACACAAACTCCCCTTTCCCTTTCCACTTCAGTATTTCAGTACCTGAAAATATTTAGCTCTCTAAACCTGTCTTAGTCTAGTTATTAACCACTGAAAAGACAAGGGGAATTAGATATAGTTAGCATCGACTCTGTGACCAAGAGCTGTTCCAGGCCTCAGTGAGGAGAGAGCATGGCCATCTTCATCTCTCTGCTCACCTGGGGTGAGTTTATACAGAGATGTGTGTTATTATTGGCTTCTGTCATTAGGACAATGAAAGGCAGTGTGGTTGTACTCAGAAGACCAGTACTTTGTCTAAAGGTACAAAGTGTTTGAATGATAGAGCCACCTTTGAAGCTGTGACGTACATGCCCAGCCTTCTGCGTGTGTCCCACTGGATGGTCTTGCCTTCCCAGCTGTTTACAGACTGTGTTAGGTTTGTGTGAGAATTTGCACACATGGGCTCCTTCCCATGAAAATTACTCAATTGGTTTTTAATGGTGCGGTGTCTGCCCTCTGCCCCTCTCTTATTTTTATCTGACTTCGTGACTTGTGCATGAAGAGTCAAACTTTCTCAGAAATACCCGCCCCAGGGGTTGAGTCTAGCAATTACTTCTTTAACTCCCCTCAAGACCAGACCCTCAATCCTCTACTGATTTCTTTTACAGTGAACTAGAGAAGAGCTTACTTTTTAATTTGTTGACCTGTTTTAGTTCAGCCATCTTCTGCTTTTGCCATAGTCCTGCTTGTTCACTTAATCTAGGGTCCCTTTCATGACTTTTCTCCTCTCTGTGAGTCTTTGAAGAGAGGGTAGGATAAGCTTTGGGGTCTCCAGCAAGATTGTATCCTCAACTCACTCTGACAGGAGTAAGGACTGTTCTCTGTTTTCTTCAGCATTTTCCCCTGAAGTATCAAGTATCCAGTTGCATGATGAGCAGTGGGGTTGGTATTGGTAGTGAGGTCATTGCCCATGAGGATAAAATGTGCTCAGTATGCAATGGCCGTGACTCAGGGAACTGAGTTCCCTGTACCTTATTACAAGCACAGACCCAGTCTGCCTGGAGTCTGGGCTTTGTGCTTGTCTAACTTCTTCTCCTTGACGGCAAGCTTTTTCATCTTTATCTTCCCCACAAGTTTCAGCAGTGTTATATCACACCTCAGTACATGCCCA